GCCTTATTATTCCAGGACCCCATTAGACAACAGCTGGGTGTTCAAAGACACAGAAGCCTGGGCGCCTGTCGAGGTGCCGCCCCCTCAGCCAGACCTCAACTCATCTGACACAGTCATCGGGCCTCTCCACCTGTGGGACCCCCCATCAGACGCAGAGGATCCAGCTGTGGAGGCTCTCGAGGATCCAGCTGTGGAGGCCCTCGAGGACCCAGGTTCTTCACTGCCAGTTACGCCGAGCAGCAGCTGGCTTCATGACAGACTTCCTCGGACTCAGCGCCCTTCCAGGGCCCCGGCCAGTGGTCCCCTACGGATTTCCACCCCTCTACAGAGACCCCAGCGAGTCCGCAGAGTTCCTGACATGTTAGGTGACTGGGTCAGTCACTAGGGTTTGTTAAAGTTGAACCTGAGTCAGGGTGTCAGCAGGTTTGTTCCTAACTCAGTAAAGGAAACAAAGTTCCAGAGTAATTCTATGCTCTTAAGCTAAAGTTATTTAATTATATTGTTATACATCCACAGTTTGTGGCTCTATTTCATTTAGTTGCCTGTGGTAATGAGTAATGTGGATACTGTTTTACTGCTTTGACACTTGATGCAGGATGTAACTGGTTAGAGAAACCAAACAGATGGTACAATTGTAATGCCTAAGAGCCACATCATATATAGAGTGAAGTCACACAGTGTTGAATTGAACTGGGTTGATTAACTACATCACAGTATGTTATGTACATGTCAGCATGTGTGTTTATACACCTTTGAAACGTTACAAAAAAAGGATCTATGCAGTATGCTTCGTGGACATTTGTATGGACATTGCCTCATGATTCAAGCTGTTTCCACAGCAAGGAAGACGCCTTCAAGGACTGTGGGAAATGGGGATTATTGTGGGGAATGTGTTGCCATTAATGTTTCATGCTTTCCTTTTATAATGTTTACATGCTGGAGTGATGTTAAGGGTTGTTTTATCATCATCCAGAGTGGGGGTAGTGTTACAGGCTTGGCCTGTCACTTTAAGAGTAGCAGCCGCAAGGGGTTGTGGGTTTTTTGGAAGTCCGGTGTGTGTAAAATGTGATGGCCAAGGCGAAGTGCGGAGGTATGAAGAGAGAGACGAAAGTATAGAGAAAGTGGTCAGAAAAGGAGTATAGTGTCTAGTTTGTATGTATTCAATTCAGTGTCCATGTAATTGAAGAACGTAAATAAACGGAGGTTCTTCCCACGGCACCCGAACGCATCGTCTTCATCCTTTTTCCCCTCGAAATATCTGGACAGCTAGTTACCGGCTGACAACGAGCCAAGTCAGAAACCACCGGTGTGTATCCGAAACTACGGTTTCGGTGCCGAGATACCGTCAGTATAAAAGGTAACATTGGGGGCTCGTCCGAGATTTTTTTTTTTTCTACGGGGGAGAAGAGTGGAGTGGATTTAATGGCAGCGTTCCGAGCTAACGCTAATGCTAATCACAGACTGAGACAAGCTGATGCAGCTAACGGAAAAAGCCCACGAAAAAGCTCTAATCCATTCTTGGTGAATATTGATGAGGCTGTTCAAAGTCAGGTGGACATGTTTGACCAGACAATTATGGATTATACTGGGTATGGGGACTGCACCAACCCCTTTCTGACTAGCATGGAGCTAACGCTAGCCGGAGCCGCAAGCTACGCCACGCCGCCGGAAGCATCACTGGCGCCAACTAACTCTTTCATCATGCCGACAAAGGAGCAAGCACAGCCAAATAGTGAGTTTCTCACCCCCTTTCCACCAAAATGTGACCGTTTAATGAGCATGGTATCAACTTCAGCTAAACCAGCTAATCCTTTCACCTCCATGGACTATAGCCACTCTATGCCGACCATCCCAAGTTACTCAGCTCATTCACAGTGCCTTCAGCCGCCAGTGTCACCATTAACACCCTGTATGCAGCAGCCTGCCACACTGCCTTGTAAAGTACAAGCTCACACATGCTCAGCTGTGCACTGTGGGACCGCACCTGGCCAGTGTGAGTGCGATCAGCCTAACATGAGGGGAGCTTGGTCTGAACCACGCAGCTCTGCAGCTCGTGCAGCACACAGAGAGGACTATATGGACACAAGTGATGAAGATGAACACCGTGGACACAGAGAGAGAATACCAACATTACGCCCAAGCCAGTTTGATGGGGCTGGCTCGTGGAGAGACTTCCTCTTCCATTTTAAAGGATGTGCTGAGGCTAACCACTGGTCAGAGAGAACTATGGCTGTGCATCTCAGATTCAGCTTGACTGGACCCGCGGCTGCCATCATCCACAAGAACCCCAGATCTACTCGCTGGAGTTATCAGCGGATGGTGAGTGAGATTGAGGCGGCCTACGGACCGTGTTCAGAACATGCTGCTGCCATAGGCATTGAACTGAGACAGAGAGTCAGAGGACCGGGGGAGGCCCTGCACCTGTTAAGAGACGACATCTATGAAAAAGTGTCAATTGTGTATGCTGACCGTAATGAGCCGGAGCAGGACGTCATCAGTGTGGAGATTTTCACCAACGCCCTTGCCGATGCAGAAGTGATCCAAAGACTACTGGAGGACAAGCCGCGCACCTTGGCTAGAGCCTACGAGATAGCCCACAGGTATGAAGCCACCAGACGGGCTGCAGTCACACAGCTAATGCAGTCTGGTTATCGCAATGCTGCAGAGCGGAGACCCAGGGCAGCTATGGTGCACGAAAATGCTAATGTTTCCGCCTGTATGGAGGCTTTCGGGGTGGCTGAAGAGTGGGCTGCGGAGCCCGCTAGCACCCAGAGTAAAGCACCGAGGTTTAACCAGCAGTGGTCGCCTAACAGAGCTAAACCTGTACAAATGAACTCTAGAGAAGTCATCTGCCACAACTGCTCTGGTGTGGGGCACATACAAAGGAACTGTCCCTCTTCCCGAAAACGCAAACAGCATGCATCTAATAACACTCCAGCTCCTGACTCAGGTACGGTGGTCACATGCAATAAAGGCTCTGATGATGACATGAGTATCCGGATACTGATACAGGGACATGAACTGTGTGCTCTGCTCGACTCTGGCGCTCGGAGGAATGTACTCCCCCTCCGCCACTTCGTATAAAAGGTAACAAAAGTATGACAAATGGCATTAGTAATGGATGTGATATGAATTTGTATAAAGTTGTCTCACATTCTTGGTCGTATTTTACGTACAGTATGTAATGAGTGTATACATGTCCAGTAAGTCCTCCACCTGTAACATCACTGCCCCTCCACCTGCCATACAGTAGGTTACTAATATACACTAACAAGATTACTTATATAATACAGTGATAGAATACATGTTTAGTATGCTTACTTATATACAACAGTAGTATTAAATGTACCTTGTGTTTTCACTCTCACTTTGCCATCATTTCAAAATCAGCTGAGCTGCAACATAATACAGACAGGTAATAATCAACAGAATACACTAAAAACACTCACCCATAAATTACGTTTTTGTTTACTGTTTGGAAGTCTCAAATATGCACTCTAAATTCATATCAATAGCGATGTATCACACAAATAGCTCTCTTCCTTATTATTGTGTAACGTTAACTTTATTATACTAGCTTGTAGGTCTACTCCAAAATGGAGATCGTCATTTCTCCACCTCCACTCATTACAATCACACGTGCCCCAATGTTATATTTAACTAATATTATATTCCTCCACCCCACAAAAAAATCACGTTTAGAAGCCCTTTTTCTCTAATTCCACAACGTTGGATGAAATAACATTAGAACGGATTAATAGCTGTTCATGGTTCACGTGTGTTGCTAACTTTATCCGGTATCCTAGCCTAATCTGTTATCTGTAAACGTTCCCTAAATCAGTAGATTATGGGATAATCCACTAACATCCTTTAATACACATGTTCATTTGACTCAGATGTGCTGATAATATCCGCAATATAAATCTTTAAACGTCTTCTTACCTTTAAAAGTCCATCACGAACGGTCTATTATGCTGCAACTCTACTGTGTTGCTGGTCGCAAAAGTTCCCCGGAAGTCAGCGGCAAGCTAACTTCCGGGGAACTATTGACGGCTGCACGATCCGCCATTGCTGTAAAAAAACTGGTCCATTGGAGTGAACGGAGATGTCGTAACTCTTCTATTATACGGCTCTGGTGTGGTCTAAAGGCCCAGACACACCAAGCAGTCACCAGAGAACTCGCCGATGCCGACTGTTGCGTCGCCGTGTTCTCCTGCGTCTTGGCCATGTGTCGCACTGGAACACACCGCAAAGACTTCAGCCAAGCACGTACGAACTGCGCATGCGTGAGTGGCAATAACTCTCCTTACCAGCAGGCGGCGGTAGTGTGTATTCGTCATTCAAAAGAGGCAACAACCGGAAGACAGAGAAGAAGAACAGACTGATATAAACAAACAACAAATAGCGTGTGCGTTCCATTTTCACTCTCGTCCATCGAAAACATGTTTGGTGCGGTACTGGAGCTATCAGCCATTGGAGTGTTGCTTGTGGAAGACATTCTCAAGCAACCGTTTTGCTTCTCATGCACTGATTCGCTAGCTGAACAGCCAATCAGAGTGATTTCTTTGTCCGACTGCCTGTGGCCGACGCACGGCCGATTCAACATGTTGAATCGGCCGTGCAATAGGTCGCCATTGTCAGTATGTGCGTCTGTGTATTGTGTTTGTTCAAACGGTGTATGACTGATGATATGTGTATGTCTCTTAATGTCCACTATGTCTGTATGCGGAACTGCAGGACGGAGTCCAGAACAAATGTCCATCGTATCGTATCGTACTTGTTAGACGCTTTTATCCAAAGCGACTTACATACTCAATACTGTGGACAATCCCCACAGGAGCACTTTGGGGTGAAGTGTCTCAGGGACACAACGACATGCTGACTGCAGTGGGGTTTGAACCTGTGACCACCTGATCTGAAAACCAACACACAACCCAATGCACCACACGCCTCCCTTCAACATCACATACAGGTTCATAATGAACACACCACAGCAGCACTTTGGTTTTGTGATAGATTTATTAGATTTCTGTGAGTTACTACTGTCGTAGTGTTCTCATACATGTCATCTGCAGTTCATCAAACTGATATATATTTATAAAAATTAGAGAAGTATAATCTACATACATCTAATACAAAAACAAACCAGTCTAGGAGTGAGTCCACTGCTTGGTTTAGTTGTAAAAACGGTGACAAATGAAGTGCTGGCGAGAAGATCTCCAAGAAGACGGATGCTCAAATGATAATAATAGAATTATGAATCTGTGCATTAAATAGGTCTAAAAATAAAAACATTCTTAGAAACAAAGAACTAGCAAACACACAAACAGGCCCAGGTACGTTTGAAACATTAGATGGATCACACACAAACACACACCTGTGAATTCTCTTTGGTGGATCAGCCCTGAAACCTTTAAATACATGTTTTAAAGCACAAACAAACGGCTGGAATGTGGCAAACTAAAAATAATCAAAGGTACGACTTCGACATCAGCGGGAACACGACCGAGTGTTAACTCCGGAGACAGATTCTAATCACCTCCGTTTTCTACCACTTTTAATCTCATATATTTATCCCTCGTTGAAGGAACTGCGATGTTTGTCACTTTGAGACGAATCAGAAACTATCATCGAGAAGAATCTCATACATTATAATTTATTTGTACCTTGTGACTCTTAACAAACAGTAAAACAGATTTTCAACCTTTAAATTATTGGTAAAATTTGCAGACGTTTTTTTGATTTGCACTGAAGTGTCCAAGGTGAGATATCAAACTCAGTCGGGAGATTTAGTCAAATTAGAAAAACCTAAAGAAAAATGCCTCCCATCGCAAAAGGACAAAAAATGTTGAGGTCCAAGAAACATGAGTTTAAGCTTGGAGTTTGGATCTTATGTTTTTGAGATGCAAAGAAGTAATAACAAGAAAACTGTCATATTTGTAAAAGGAGAATATCCATACATTTAGTCTACATTACCATAAATATAAGGTATTTTCTTGGTGAGAAAGTAAATCAAGAGATCCATTAACGTTTAATAAATATAATATTCCTTTTGTGATTTGCATGAAATTCTGTACGAGATCTGTATCGATCTTATTTGAATAAGATAAACAATAATAAATTATTATTTAATTTGGATCTTTTTTTCATATGGATCACCTTCCTACAAGATAAGAAATGGATAGCAAGATACAATAGTCAAATTAATAATAATAATAATATATTGGATTTGTAAACAGGGGGTCCGCAGGGTCTTAAAAAGTATTAAAAGTTGATAAATCAATTTAGCGAAAATGAAGGCTATTAAAAAGTATTAAACGGCATTATCCAAGGTCTTACATTTTGTAGCTTGTTTCCAATAAGTATATGAATGGTCCAAAGAGGTTGTATTCTACAGTGTGCCTGAATGTAATCATTGCGTAGGTGTGTAGTGTGATTCTGTGTAGTTTATTTATGGCATCCCGTTGGGTTTGACTTCACCTGAACCGGACATCGCTCGCTCACTGCTTGATAGCGCGCGACGGTCCGTTTACGCCGGTTGTTAAACAACATGGTTATGGGGAAATGCAAGTCTGCGTCCAAATGGTTGGAAGATAAGGAGGAAGGACAATCAATACTGTATATAGTCAATGTGGGGTAAAGTGTGTCGCCAAGGTAACCGGTTAAAACTCCAAGTGGAGATGAGGTCTTAAAATGTATGGAAAGGGTCTTAAAAGGTTTTACATGTGACTTCAGGATTCCTGCATAGACCCTGAACAAGGGACATAAAATACATACTTAAAATGTAAGAAGATATGTTTCTCTCTGGAGAATGCCACAGAGCTCCTTAGAAATACATGTTGTTCTTCCGCACACTTGATTTTGGTCACTTCTTAAAAATGTTCCTCCAGGCGTTTTTATTGCTGCTTCTAAACCTAATGGTGGACTTTGTGAAGTTCAGAATAGAGCATGTTTGGAGTTAAGGACATCATGTTTAACCAATGTGTTTTTCAGGCAGCCAAAAGAAAACAATAGTAATTTAGTCCCTCGATGTCACAAATGTGTGGTAGAAACTGTTAAAATCACCCGGACGCTGATTCAAAGTGTCCCGGAGTTGCTTTAAGGCGAACTAGGTTTAAGGCAGAGGTGATGTTCGCTGCTGTCGAAGTCAAAAATACAAACAAGATAAGAAAAGTGCTCACACAGAAGAGAAGACACACACGACTCTTCTCACATGCGTCAGATGCTAAGGGGGATAACTTTTCATCACATGCTGGTTCTCATCCTGAGGCACATATTATTCACAGAGTCGGGTCGCTTTGTAATTAAGGCACTTGGATGTTAAACAGCTCAAAGTGGAAATGACACAACACTGTTTTAATTTGGAGGACTTCATTACCCAGAAACCCTATGTGGTTAAGTTAGCTTAACCTCTACATGTTACCAGACTATTACTTAGACTGCTTCAGGTTTGTAAAAACAATAAACCTTCTATCCAAGGCTATCATCAAGAACGCTAACAATGAATATACTGTCAACAAATAAAAGACTGAAAACTGAAAACGAGCCGGCAGCTGTGCTATTTTCTTTCTGAACTGTACTCTCTTCACATTAACTAATGTTTGTGAGCTATTGTCACTCAAAACAAAGGTTTATTAGCTTGAGGGCTAACATTAGTATAGATGACGTTAGCTAGAAATATGACTTTCTCAACATTAAAGTTGTAATTGTTCTGATGTTAGCTTTCCGGCTGCATCCAATCTAGTTCTTATTACCCCATATATTAGTTTTCTTTTACGAACTGCATCTGCTAAAGTAGGCTAATTTGTATTAGCCAGAGAGCTAACAGGAGTCAAGCTGAAATTAGCCATCAAATGTTAGTTAGCACTTCATCCAAACTTAGCTTCAGGCTGCTTTATATTCTCATTAACATTCATATTAATATATTTATTAGTTCTGGTCCACTTGCTGGGATTATTTCACTCACTACAAAAAATATTGAGTTGGTTACTAATGAGCGGAAGAGATCTAATAAGCGAGAATTAGCTTCCTATCGTAGGCAATGATTATTTTGATGAGTGATTTATTTATTTACTTTGCGAAACCTTCTGATGGCTGATACTGTTTCAATTTGACCTTCACAGCTCACTCTGCTCACTCTCTGGTGATAAATGTAAATATGATCTTCACCTCACCTCACCGTTAGCTGCAGTGCTAACGTGCTAACCTATTTTTCGATGTCTCCTGCCGTGTTGTTTGGTGTCATTGGAGCTTCACAGTGAGCCACGTTGATGTTTAGTGACCTGACTCTGGCCTTCATCAGGTTTCCATCGTACCATCTTCTTCCTCACCTGGACTCCCTGGAGTAAAACCTGCTTCTCATACAGTACGTTATTCTGTGAGTCTTTGAGGAAGGAGCGCTGGGAGGGAAAACTGAGTTGCTTATTAAATGTTCACATTTCTTTAGCATTACTTCAGGATCAACAACTCTTCAAACTGTTCCCTCAGAAGGTTTGAGCTGAAACACGATACTGGGCTTTCTTCATCTGTATTCTCTGATACATTTTTACTAGATCATTATTTTATCTGAAATAATAAATAAGGTTATGCTAGCCGTATTTTCTATAAAGGCTCGACGACGCGGTTCATTTGCACATTTGTGTAACCAAGCACAGATTCAGATTCTGCTATAATCAAATCATCGAATTTAAGAATAATTCATTTTTACTTTTAATACGTCTCAGGATCTTAGGGGTTGTCGAATGGCAATAAAATATAGTTTTTGCTGATTTTCTATTTGTACGGAAGAGGATTAGAGCCACATGGGATTTTCTTAAGATCTGAACACAAGTTGAAAATAATGTTTTAAGTTCGGAGAAAAAATTCAGAATTCTGGAGAAAGACATTTGAAAATAAAAATGTGTTATTAAAAAGAAATCAAATAGAAATCATGAAAATTGTTTTAAAATTCTGTAATAAAATAAAGTCACATGTGGCCCTGATCCTCTTTGAACCCCACAAAGCCCCATTTAAAACAAGGTCTTAAATATGTTTACGCTTCCTAACGAACATGTTTCTCTTCATATTTGGAATATTTCTTCTTCGTCGTTCATCTCCAGCTGTTGCTAAGTGCTTCTGCCCTTTAAGACGTTATATTAACAGCTTTTTACTGATATAAGTGCTTATTTTAAATTGGGAGAAATGTACCTTTGATCGGTCTGGGTGTAGCATCGGGCGGATGAACAAACCATATCTTTTTGGCGCCGTTCGAATCATCAGGCGGAAACATAATTTACTTTTCATTAAGATTGTGAGATTTGGCCTTTTTCTAGATAAAAACATATCTAAAAATGGTTAGAAAACTCAAGTATCCTGTTTCCATTATACACACAGTATTTAAGAAAGAGCAATGAAATGAACTATGAGGGGAAACCCACCAATGAGCAGAGGCTAACCTGAGAGGGGCGGGGCTTCTTTTCTCCAGGTGTCAGGTGGGCGGGGCTTAGAAGATTACATTACGTTAAATGTTTTTGTGTTTGATAAAGAAAATCTTTGTTGTTGTTGGCAGGGGGGAATTTGATTTTGCATATTGTGCGGCGTTGATACTTCTGCTCCTCCAATCACAATCTGTTATTTGTGGGTTTGTTTCTCCTGCTCAGGTCTGACAGGCTGAAGAGGAGCAGCACCTCTTCCTGTTGGAGTCTATTCCTCTTCCTCCTCTTCCTCCTCTTCTTCCTCTCCAGCCATCACCTCCACCAGCAGCTCAGCGGTACATGTCGCCTCCCCCAGACTGTTCACTGCCTTCACCGTGTATTTAGCGTCGTCGTCTCCCGAAACCTGCAGATTCATATCAGAAAATATCAACATTAAAGTGGACCTATGATGCTATATTATAATAATATAGTGTAGGACCATACCTATATAAGGCATATTGATACTTTTTTCTTTTCAAAATACCAAACAGATCACGCATTTTAGCCATGCCTCATTTCGCTCAATTTGACATTTTTTAGCTCTGCTCTGCAAGGGCAGATTCAGTGAGAACAGCACCACCTACAGGCCTGGCATATGTACTACAGCGTCTCCAGCGCTTTAGAACGGCAATGGCCGTGGCTGTCTCCTCCTGATTGGTGGAGTTGGCCCAATAGCCGTAGCGCCACCGTCCTGACGTCAGGACAGTGTTCAAATCTGGATCAGTTTTTATCAGATCCGTTGCAGCCCCTTTTTTAGAGATTTGGGTATGGAGGAAAATAGAGAGGGTTGTGTTTTCTGACACTTGGTGAGTTCCCTGGAACACCGGGGACACATATTCATGTAGAAAAGACGTACACAAGTGCATTTTGCATGATAGGTCCCCTTTAAATCCCACTGGCGTTCAGGACATGGTTCATAGTTATTCAAATTCAACCCAGATCAGAGGAAGAGGTTTGTCGAGCCTGAAGCCAGAGTTTTCCCTGGCTCTCTCTTACCTGCCTGACATAACCAGCTTATGTTCAGATGTTAGGCATCTCACTAACTAGTTCCTTTCTTTAATTATCTTATCTTTAATATTTTCTTATGCATGCTTCTTAGGTAAGGTTAAGCTGTCTGTGGCTCTTTTCTGCTGGAACAAATGTAAATGTCCCCTCTGTGGGACGAACACAGGTATTCTGATTCTGAAAAAGCGTCACTTTATAATCAATCTATGAGGTACAGGTTATCAGCTGGGGGAATAAGCTATAAAACCTGCCATGTGCAAAATAAACACTTGTTTTGCAAGACTTTTACAATGTCTCAACACCGAATATGTTACTTGTTTTCTTTTAAATAGCTGCCTCTCATTATTTATGTGTCTTTGATTCCATCACTAATGTGTGCTTGTCTTTCCTACACTGTAAAAACAGTTCCGATGGTGAAGTCAACAAAACTCAACTTTTTAATGTAATTTACTTGCCCTAAATTAGTTTTTTTTCAATGTGCGTTTAAATAAGTAACACTTAAGCAACAATGAGAACATGTTTTAAGAACTCATTAATTTGTAAATGAATATCACATTTTCTGAACTTTCTTTAAAAATACGTTTTGGAAAACGTAATAAAAATGCTTTTTTCAACGCCACGGTCATGCCACGCCCTCAAACGAGAATACCGCGGTGTGAGACTTCCTGTTCCTCTTTGCAGCGGTTCTTCAGCAGTTGGACACGTGTTTGCGTTGGATCCTCCTCAAACTATCGTAAAACAAGTAAGCATGCCACCTGAGTTATTAATTACTGCTTTTTAACTAGAAAGTGTTATTTACTTTTCTTGTATTCACTGTTTTGAACGAAACATCGACATTTTAATGCATGCCAGCGCCATTACTGCTGTTAAAGTTAGACTCAGCCCTGTCGTGCTCATGTAGTCTATTTCTTCACGCAAAGTTGTTGGGCAAAGTTTGCATCAAGTGCTTACCGACGCAATTCTGTTAAAAGTGGTTAAGTTAAGAGTACGTATTAAGAATCAACTCTGCAAACTCTTCCCCTATGCCGCTCTAAGCGTTGGCCCGGGCACCGTGATGCGGCCGCGGGGCTCAGAGGCTCTCCTGCCGTGCATGCTGTGCGGTAAAATACCTCCGTTAAAACTATTCCCTACTACTTTATAACCCAGCGGTTATGTAAGAGTAAGTTACTAATGCGCCTATTTGATATTAATTCCTCTATATGTATTTCGCCGTTTGTTTTACTGTGAGCAATGAATTATCTTTCTACAATCTTAGTGTACCCAATTTAAACTCATAGTCTGCAGTTACAGCATCGAGTTGTTATTATACAAAATTAAGTGCAAACTATATTTTTCATGCTTATGCAACGCTATAGATGCACATCCATGTTGGAATCTGCAGGAGAGTTAACGTTAGCTCTCAGTAGAAAGTGACGGAGGTGATTTCAGTTAAGGTGCATTCAGGCGCAATTCAGTAAAAGTGTGTATTGGGCGAGGAGGCATGTATAACGTCAGCAAGATGTGTTCAATGTAGTCCAGGGGTAGGCAAGTAAGTTTGGCCGTGGGCCAATTTTTTGCTGAGCCACAAGATGGCGGGCCAGAACATAATCAAAGCCTAATTCAAGGAATTAATTTTGGTAAGAGGGCACAGCGCCCCTGTTCCCCGGTTCAGAAAAAACTCTGATATCGCTGATAACCCTCCCCATCAACACTCTGATGCCCATCAACACTCTGATGCCCAGTCAGATCCGCTGATTGGTTCACTGATGATATAGGCGCCCAATCCAGAGCCTCTGGATAGACCCGCCCAAAGGGAGGATCGTCGTCTCTAGCCCCATTTCAGTCCCATGTTAAAAGTCAGGGCTATTATCTGTATTTTAACAGACTTATCTTTTAAATTGAGGTGCATTTATTGTTCTCTTCAAAGTTAATTTTTTTCTGAAATTTTAGGGAGGATGGTCCTCTCTTTCCTCAATGGACGAGCCTCCACTGAGTGAGTTATTAACTAGGTAGCAGTGTTATTTAACATACTTTTATTCTGATAAGTATTGTCAAGTTCTCTGGGTTTTTGGCATTTATTTGAGTGTTTGCCCACATTTGAGAGGCTTGAGGGGCAACAGAGGACGCATGGACAACTGGAATCCTTTTTCCTTTTCTTTATTTCAACTTTTCAAGGACACATTAGGATTCTTTCAGGTTGAAAACCTTTAAAAAATACAAAATAAATAAATTACAGTATGTTTTGCTATCAGTAACCAAGTATTTTACTCAACTCAATGTATCTAATAGTTAAAGGGGACCTATCATGCAAAATGCACTTTTGTACGTCTTTTCTACATGAATATGTGTCCCCGGTGTTCCAGGGAACTCACCAAGTGTCAGAAAACACAACCCTCTCTATTTTCCTCCATACCCAAATCTCTAAAAAAGGGGCTGCAACGGATCTGATAAAAACTGATCCAGATTTGAACACTGTCCTGACGTCAGGGCAGTGGCGCTACGGCTATTGGGCCAACTCTCCACCTATCAGGGGAATGTGGGGTTGGGCCATGGCCGGCCATTGCCGCTCGAAAGCGCTGGAGACGCTGTAGTACATATGCCAGGCCTGTAAGTGGCGCTGTAGTCTGCCACAAAAGCAGCGAAGAAGACTTCCCGCGCATGGTTGCCATGGTTACCCTTCTGTTTATTCTCCGCTGTGGCTTTTGTTCTCCCTCCCCAAGGCAAGCACTGTAATTCTCTCCGGTTAGTCCACCAGCAGATGACAAACACCCACCTCTCCGCCTCTTCCAAGGAACGACCGTGCGGCAGAGTTTCAGTTAGGTTTTCTTTCGCCGGTCAAGATGTCCGTTAAAGTTTAAATCTTCCGGACAAAATTAGAAAAGTGCCGGTCAAAGGTCTTCTTTGTTATTTATTGAGCTTTAAAACAAATGAATAACGACTCTATATAATAATATAAGAATAAAACACGGAGGACGGAGATCTCTTTTTCTCCCCCTCTTCTGACTTGATCAGACCACGCTCCCCTCTCCTGCAGGGGGGCGTGGTCAGCTGCAGCTCACAGAATCAGCCCCCTGCAAAAACAGGGCTGGAGAACAGCAAATAGAGTGAAATGAGGCATGGCTAAAATGCATGATCTGTTTGGTATTTTGAAAACAGAAACGTATAAATACACCTTAACCTGTTCCACTCTGAGCCTGTTTTTCAGGTCTCAGGCTCGAAAATGACATTCCCAGAACAAATGACCATATCTTCCCTTCTAAAAGGGTTAAATTAATAATCTTTTTTCTCAAAGTAATGATAAACCTGTGAGTTGGATGTAGAAGTGTCAGAATCAATATAAATGTTTTTTATTTTAAAGAAAATTCAGATTTTACATAGTAAAAAACTGTAAATTATAGTGTCCGTCCAAAAATTATTTTTTACAGATAGTGAAAACTACCCTTGGATGATGGGTTAGTAGACTAAAAGCTTTAGGAATCCAAAGTACAACATATAATAAGTACCCTGTATCAAGATTGATGCAAAACAAGTGAAATTTGACCTTTTTAGAGAGATTTAGCCAAAAACTGGGCCATCTGGGGTCATTTGGGTGGATTTGACCTATCTCTGGCCCCCCTTGCTCGATTTGGTTGGTTGACATACCCTTGTGACCGTTAGAGCCAATAGAATCGAAGGGGGAGGACAACACCCACACAAGCTGTAAAGAAAAAATGTGGGCGCTTCGCGTGTGGAAAACGAAACCAAACTGGAGGAATGTCTCCTTCTGGAGTTTGGAAACTAAAACGCAGTTGTATTGCTTATGGATTATCAGAAATAATTTCAAAGAAGGCACAGACACATAGGATGAACCTATGGATTAACTGCAGCATTGTTTTTTTATCGTTTTAATGCCATTGAAGACCACTTTTGACCAAGGTAAGCCATATTTACGTGTTTAGCTTCTTAGCTCCACATGTGATGATGTACGCTTTCGTTGATAGCGTCGCGAATGTTTATCACTGAGTGTTGAGGTGGGCACCGTTAGATTCAGTGTCTCCAGGACACCAAAAACGAGTGGTTGGCTGTGCATCTAGGATAAGTAATAAGGGAGTTATGAGTGAGTTTAAGTGCCTTTGTAGGTCCCGTTTTTTCGATCGAGGCTAATTCAGAGGCTGAGTGCTAGCATTGTGGGTTTTTTTTGAAAAAAAAAATTAAAAAGATCAGTTAGCTGAGTTTCTTCCCGTTACATGGATATAACACATTCATAGTTTTATTCAATATTAAGATTCCTTAGACGTTGTTTCCTGCAAATGACGCGTTTATCCGCCCGGTACCGGGGGGAAGGCGTGAAACAGGTTAAGGCCCTGACACACCAGGCAGTCACCAGAGAACTCGCCGACA